CCATTTCGCTAAATCATTCACTTTTATTTTTTTATTAAATTTAATTTAAAATAATCATGTTTTCTTGACATATTAAAACTTACACACTTTCTATATTAACGAAAGGAAATTGAATAATTGATAGTTGGTTGAAACTACTTCTCAAGTCCATTCTAATTAAAAGTATAATCCTTACTATCTCACAATTATATACCATTCGTAATTATAGTAAAAGAATTGGATTAAATATAAGTAATAGGCCTCAAAATAATTGATGAGACATATTTTTAAAAAACAAAGTTTTTAGACACACATGACCCTCCCAGCATAACAGGTAGGCCATTTATCCAAAAAAAAAATGGATAATACAAATATAATTTAAAAAAGTTAATAAAATAGGAAAAGTATAACATTTAAAAACTTAAATGTCCTCGGTAACTAACAATCATTCTTATTTACAATATTGATAAAAACTTACAAAAATACTGGCTGACAAATGACAAACAAAATGGCGTGTTGAAATGTGCAGACGTTTTCGTCAAAGATTTGTAAAATTATCCTGTAGAATTAACATTATGTTACACTTTTAGCTTTTCCAAATTGAAAGTATTTCACTAAGTTTAAAAAAACTTGATGTGGATTACGATCAACGATAAAAAATCAAAAACACGTTCATAAATTATCCCTATAAAAGGTTACTTTTCAAAACTGTCAAACTGACAGTTATGTTGACAACATAGATAATTGATAACATGTATAGTGGGTCCTTGACAACCCATAGAGATATAACGTGCAGCACACATTTCGTTTTAAAGTATTTTTTTCTTACCACTTCTTACTTCAACCCCTACTTTCCCTTTCCACACATATATTTACATAGTAATTGTACAAAAAACCTTTAAAATGATATTCTGCAATTACAATACCTTGCAGTATAATGTGTTGCCTATATTGAAGGCGAACAATTAAAGTAAAAAATTAATAGGATTTAATTAATTTCCCGCGTTTAATTAGCCCCCTAAATAAAAGTCAAATTTCTAAACTCACTGTGTCGACCGTTTGTGAATTATTTGTTAATGTTTGTGACATAAATGATTTTGTTTATGGCTATTAGGTAGAAGCTATTAATAACTTATCATTACAATTAATTAAGAGCTTACAATTAGCTTTTTTTTTGTAATAAATTGTACCACCCTTTGGGTACAAATTACAAAAAGTATAATCGAACTGAGATCTTTCTGTTTTGAAGTTGGTTAATGATTAATTAATGAAAAGTCAGGCAAAGATGTTTATTACATTTTAATTTTAAACTACCATAAATACATTATGTTGTTCTTATTATATCACACTCTGTTATAAAAATAAAGCAATTATTCTACACCACTACACAATAGCCATTTAAAAAATAAAAAAAAATTGAAATTGTAAATATTTTTAAAAAATATTTGCTATAAAGTAATCAAATGCCTCAATTGTATGAAGTTTATACAATTGTTCTACTGAGCTATTGTATCATTTGTTCTATAAAATAATAAAGATAAAGGAATCTGATTTAAATACAAATTATCTAATTGAATCTTAAATTAAAAATTACTGTAAAATTGCTAAAAAAATAAAATAACTACAAATAGACTTATTAGTGACCATTACATATTTCACTGAGTAGGAGAAAAGGATGATGGAATAAGCACCTGCAACTTTTCTAAATCTTTGCTAAATGTTTGTAAACAAAATTCGTACTCTTTATCCAACTGAATTTTGTGACTTTCCATTTCCATTTTGCATTTCTCTTCAAGTTTCATGAGAGCTGCTTGATGTTCTCGACGCATTCTTTTATAGCCTGACATCTGTTCGTGCATTTCCTCCTTAAGAAATATACATTATGAATAATGATACGACATACAATAAACTTTTACTTCTTTTTGTAAACATTTAAATTTACCTGCATATGTTCTTTCTGTTGTTTTGTGACGATACTGGTAGTTCGAATTGTAGCAAAATTATTAGCCCCGTGATCGGCTATAACTGCCACTGCAGCATGATTTGAAGTCGGTGGACGCTGTCGCTTTGTTGTACTTTCTAAATCACCACCTTTGAAAAAAAATTAATATGATGTTTCTGTTTTCTGAGAATAAATACAAATCAGACGATAATGTAAGCTCGTGTCTTTACATACCTGCTGGAAGGCTATTGGTACTACTTGACTGACTACTTGCGGAAACACCAACGGAATGAACACTGTGTTCGGACGTAACAGAATTGCTCTTAGAACTGTCGCCTCCCGTGTGCTCGTCGGGTGTATCATCCATATCTCCTGAAAATCACAGTTCTCTTTTTAATATAAATTCGTAAGAAATTTCAACAACCTATACTCACCAATGGTACTTTCAATTTCACTATTATCAACCATCAAAATTTTTTTCATTTTCCTATAATTCAAGTTATCTAGATCTCTGACGGCCGCTTTCGTTCGTTGAATCAGATCAATGAGAACATTATTTGGTCTATGTCGGGTCACAAATTGATGCGAAAGCAATTTTGAAGAATTCGGACGTTCCGCTGGTAATTTCTGAAATTAATATTTGTTTATTTATTGTCAGGTTTTCTTTAGATTATGGATAAAGTGGCAAAACAATAACTAAAAATTTTGTTATTCACCTGTAAACAAGACTTGACAAAATGTTTAAAAATATCAGACCATTCGTTTGACTGTAACGTGGGTGTGTCATTTTGAGCGATATGATATAGTGCTGACATAGCATTCATGTTGAAATAAGGGGGCTTTCTTTCGGCCAATTCAATACACGTAATTCCCAGAGACCAAACATCCACTTTCCCATCATACTGCCCTTCGTCCATCGCGAGAATAACTTCTGGAGCCATCCAATAAGGAGTTCCAACAAAAGAATTCGCCGGACATTTAATAGAAGCACTGCCAAAATCAGCCAATTTAACAGTTCCATTTTCGGTCAGTAATATGTTCCCAGCTTTTACATCTCTAAAGAATTATAATTAATTTTGGGATTATTTCAGTTTCAATTCATTAATTAGATTAATTCTACATTTATGAGTAGGACTAATTTTTAAGTACTAATCTTATATCTAAATTATGTTTACAAATTAAGTTTATATAATAAAATAACATAGTGCTTATATACTATTATAATGTCCTCTCACCTGTGGATTTGACCAAGACTATGTAAATAACTTAAACCATTCAGTACTCCATCACAAATTGCTGCTATTTCTTCTTCTCTAAGTGCACATTTATGAACTTCAATAATATCAGAAGCAGAACCTAGACAGTATTCCATAACTAGCCATGCCGTATGGTCCCTTAAATAACACCCCTTGTACTCCACAGTGTTTGGATGGTTTAATTGTCTGAGAAATCTAAAATAAGACATAATTTTTATTACTGAATGAAGTAACTGATATGTATGACTACCTTATTTCCTTGAGAATATCTTGCCACTTATCCAAACTCTGTTTACCAAGGTATGTCATCTTTTTAATGGCCACCACTTCTTGAGTAAGCAGGCATCGGGCATAATAAACAGCTCCAAAAGAGCCATGTCCGATTTCACGTAGATCTTCAAATATTTTTTCAGGATCATGCTTGTAAAAAAGTTCGGCGATTTCTGGATCTTTCAGGCTACCTGGCCTGGGCACAGGAGCCATTACTTTCTCCAAATGTCTTAGACGACCATTTCGCTAAATCATTCACTTTTATTTTTTTATTAAATTTAATTTAAAATAATCATGTTTTCTTGACATATTAAAACTTACACACTTTCTATATTAACGAAAGGAAATTGAATAATTGATAGTTGGTTGAAACTACTTCTCAAGTCCATTCTAATTAAAAGTATAATCCTTACTATCTCACAATTATATACCATTCGTAATTATAGTAAAAGAATTGGATTAAATATAAGTAATAGGCCTCAAAATAATTGATGAGACATATTTTTAAAAAACAAAGTTTTTAGACACACATGACCCTCCCAGCATAACAGGTAGGCCATTTATCCAAAAAAAAAATGGATAATACAAATATAATTTAAAAAAGTTAATAAAATAGGAAAAGTATAACATTTAAAAACTTAAATGTCCTCGGTAACTAACAATCATTCTTATTTACAATATTGATAAAAACTTACAAAAATACTGGCTGACAAATGACAAACAAAATGGCGTGTTGAAATGTGCAGACGTTTTCGTCAAAGATTTGTAAAATTATCCTGTAGAATTAACATTATGTTACACTTTTAGCTTTTCCAAATTGAAAGTATTTCACTAAGTTTAAAAAAACTTGATGTGGATTACGATCAACGATAAAAAATCAAAAACACGTTCATAAATTATCCCTATAAAAGGTTACTTTTCAAAACTGTCAAACTGACAGTTATGTTGACAACATAGATAATTGATAACATGTATAGTGGGTCCTTGACAACCCATAGAGATATAACGTGCAGCACACATTTCGTTTTAAAGTATTTTTTTCTTACCACTTCTTACTTCAACCCCTACTTTCCCTTTCCACACATATATTTACATAGTAATTGTACAAAAAACCTTTAAAATGATATTCTGCAATTACAATACCTTGCAGTATAATGTGTTGCCTATATTGAAGGCGAACAATTAAAGTAAAAAATTAATAGGATTTAATTAATTTCCCGCGTTTAATTAGCCCCCTAAATAAAAGTCAAATTTCTAAACTCACTGTGTCGACCGTTTGTGAATTATTTGTTAATGTTTGTGACATAAATGATTTTGTTTATGGCTATTAGGTAGAAGCTATTAATAACTTATCATTACAATTAATTAAG